CCAACCTGAACTGCATAGGGAGACCCTGCCTGAAAAAGACTAAATAAATAAATAAATAAATAAATAATTTATTATGGTAAGACCCATTGCAATTTAATCCTCCTCAAAATACACTCCTTGCTTCAAACACACCATTCTTGCAATTTTCTGAAGCAGTTCTCAAAGTTCTCTTTCATGTCTTTACTTGGTTGCTTCGATGTCCTGAATCAATACAAAACGTGTACCTTTCGTGGCCCTTTTGATTTTGGGGAAAAGCCAGAAGTCACACAGTGCCAGATCCTGTGAGTAAGGGAGATGAGGACACAGTATAATGCTGTTACAAACTGTAGGATGGCACTTGGCAGTGGCATTCACCATATTTCTCATCACACATTGTAAATACACACAAGAGGACTTTTGAACTGCTCCAGGAAGTAGCAAGAACAATGGGATGTGTTTGAAACATTGATGCATTTTTGTTTTCTTTTTTTTCTTTTTTTGATTTTCAGGACAAGAATCTCACTATGTAGCCCAATCTGGCCTTGAACTTGGTATGATCCTCCTGTCTCAGCCTCCTCACTTCTGGGAGTGTGTGGGCCACCATACCCAGTGAGGTGTATTTTGAGAAGAATTAATCTCAATGCATCTTTTACTGTAATAAATTTTTTGAACTTAAACATTCATCATAGTTTTCAGTCACTATATATAAATATCAGCTCTCATTGACAAATTTTTATTTTGTTAGGTTTTGTTTTGTTAAGACAGGGTCTTGCTATGTTGTCCAGGCCATCCTCGAATGCACTATATAGCTTAGGCTGGCCTCAAACTTGGAATCCTCCTGGCTCAGCCTCCTGAGTGCTGGGATTACAGGTGTGCACCACAGTGCCCACAAAGAGGTGACTCGTTAACTCTACATTGATTATTTCTCCCTCACTGGACTTTGAGCTGCAGGGAGAAGACACCATTGAGTCTGTTCATCCCTCTATGCCATGTCTAGAACCATGCCCAGTGTGTGGGGAGGATATTCAACAAGTACACACTACACTCCCCTCTCTGAGCCCGTATCTCACATCTGCCCAGTTAGGCTTCCTAGGTGCAAGCCTTTGGTCCAACAAGGACAGTCACCTTGAGGGTAACACACATTGTTGCCTGAACTCAACAACCATTCCCTCTCTTCTCCCTGACTTACCACCAAACACACACATTCTCAGGCTCCCTTGGAGATGTGGGATCAGCTAGAGATGTGGGATCAGATAGCTCTAAACAATAAGATGTCTCCTAGAATCTTCTAGGAAACTTTTGAACTCCTGCCTTGAATTCAGATATGATGCTTGGAGCTGTGACCTCCATATTGTGACCAGGAGGAAAAGGCTAAGAAAATCAGAGAGACCCCAGCAACAATATCCCCAAGTCTCTGAACAGTGTCAGCAGCTCTGACCTATAGGCATAGGTGAGAAAAATTTATCTCTGCTTATGCAATCCACGGTCAGATCTGCTTATGCAATCCACGGTCAGAAGATGCAATCCAAGCATCTTCAATCGGTCACTTGCAGGAGAAAAAATATCTGTAAGAGGTACATTTGGTTATATGACATTTGTCTCCCCTGCCAGAACGGAAGCTCCATGGTGGCAGGAAATATGATTTTGGTCACCACCCTGTGTCCACCTGTTCTCCTCCCCACCCAGCAGATGGATGTAAAGACTGTAGCCAACATTTCTTCACCCAAAATGTGACACACCTTCCTGTTGGATTTGCAGAAATAACGAGGTGCTAAAAAGTGCTTGGAGTAGCTGTCAACAAAGGTCGCAGTGTCTCCAGCAGGGGGACAGGCGGAATGCAGGACTATAACAAGAGGATGCGAGGGTGAGGTGGGGGGCTCAGTAGCTGCAGCAGCCCAGCCCTTTTGGTTCAGTGTGTGTGGAAGGACCACAGGACCAAGCATCTTCAATCGGTCTTCCCTCTTCTGTCAATCAAAGCAATAAATGATGTGAACTTTTTTTTTTCTTCTTTTTGTGGTACCAGGGATTGAACTCATGATCTTGCACTTGCCAAGCAAGCGCTTATGCCACTGAGCTATATCCCCAGCCCCTAGAAGTGGTTCTTATATCTTTTTCAGCTGAACAAGACGTATTTTTGACTCAGTCTTGCTATGTATTATACTTGACAGTGGGCAAACGTCATATTTTCTTTTGTTTCGGCTTTTTGTAGTACTGAGTACCCTCACACTGAGCCATGTCTCCACCTTATTTTTTTTAAATTCTGAGACAGCATCTTGTTTAGTCTCTAAATTGAATAAGCTGGGCTCAAACTTGTGATCCTGCTGCCTCAGCCTCTCACGGTGCTGAGGTTACAGCTGTGTACCACCACACCCAACCGTCATCTTTACTGATGTCTCTGCCCTAGAAGTCCCTCTCCAGAACTTCCCTCAAAGACAAGACACACAGGCCAGAGGGAATTCTGCATTTTATTTCTGCTCACAACCCCAAAAGGTAAGTGCCCCCCCGACACCTTCACAAACCAGATTCTTCTCCCAGAGCTAAAATGACCCCCAGTCACCAACTATGACCATTCCCCTTCCTCCCCACTGGCCTGCACTTCTGGCTGCTCTGCTGACTTGGCTCCCTCCCCATACACAGATCCCCAAGGATACCGGCCTGCTTTTTCACTTACATTACACTGGTCCCTGCCTTCATACCCTCCCTGACATAGGTGCTCATTTGCATAGTTACCTTGTTTGTTTGTTTGTTTTCCGGTACCGAGAATCCAACTCAGGACTCTGTGCTTCCCAGGCAGGCGCTGTGCCCGTGAGCTAAATCCCCAGCCCCAAGCATAGTCACCCTTGTGTGGCTTCCTGGCCTCACTTCCCAGCCCAGTGGCCCTGTGGCCACTCCATCCAGGAACGCAAGCGAGAAACCATATATGAAACTGGGGAGACCAGGGCTCCCAGCTCCGAGTTCCCAGCTATAATGGAGGGGTGCGGATGTTCACTAAGGCCGAACATCACTGATTGGGATGGAGAAAGTGTAAAATTCAGAAAGGCGAAAAGAAGACAAAAGGATAAACGATAAAGAAGACAAAAGGATAACGACAAAAGGAGGGTTTGCAATGACGCTGGCGGGGTAAGGAGGGACCCCTCACCCCAGCCCAGCCTTCGCGGGCGGCTGAGGCCCCGCCCCGCCCGAGGCCCCGCCCCTAGGTGCTGCGCGTGCGCTGGCTGCGCGCCTTGTACACCTCGATGAGCAAGTCCTTCACGTACTGGATCTCGCGTTCCACCGACTCGGCCCGCTCCCTCAGCTCCCGGTTCCGCGCCTCCAGCCCCTGGCACTCGCCCTCCAAGGCCTCGCCCTCTGCCCGCTTCCTCTGGCGGTACCGCAGCGCCGCCGACTTGTTCTGGTCTCGCTTCTTCTGCTTGCGGTCCCCTCGGGCGGGCGCGGGGTAGGGCGCGGGGCGCGCGGGCTGCGGCGCCGGGGGCTGCTGGGGGGCGGGCAGGGGTCCCAAGCCCAGGTCCCCCTGGCCAGCCTCGCCGCGGCAGTAGATGGCCAGCAAGTCGAGGGTGTCCAGGGCCGAGGGCTGGGGGAGGTCAAAGGTCGGCAGGGGGAGCGAGGGGGCCGGTGGTGGTGGCGGCAGTGGCGGCGGCGGCGGCGGGGAGGGTGGTGGTAGGAGCGGGGCGTCCAGGAAGAAGTCTTCCATCTGCTCCAGCTCCTTCTTGAGCAGGGAGGCCATGGCTTCCAGGTCAGGGGTGGGTGGGGAAGGTGGGGGGAGGGAGCCGGGGGGCAGGGGGGGCTCCAGAGGGAGGAGGGCCGTGAAGTCAACCCGCTCAGTCATCCAGTCCGAGAAGCCATCACCTGGGGATCGGAGGGGGACACAAAGCGCCCTGTCTCATTCGGGCTCAAGTGTGTTATTCAGTCAGTAGAGCAACCAGCCACTCAGTCAACCAACGAATCACCAGGCCAGTCAACCAACCAGTAAAGGAACCAATGAACTAACCAATCAACCACTCGTACATCTTTACTGAGTGCCCTGTCCCTGTCTCTGGGCTCTCTCTCTGGCGCTCTCAAAACCACACCACACAAGAGAGAGAAAAACAGCCCCTGCACAGAGAGATAATACACACCCCCCTCTAATTTTCTCAGACAGGATTTTGCTAAGATTAAGTTGCCTGGTATGGGCTCAAATTTGTGATTCTTCTGTCTCAGTTTCCCAGAGTGCAGAAATTATAGCATGGACTACCATGCCTGGCTCTCTTATTACTCCATAATTCACTTCTGGTTTATTGTTTGGTTTACTTCGGTCTGGTTTTTTGAAAAAGGCAGTATTGGGGATTGAACCCAGGGTCATTTCACTGAGCTACAACCCTACATCACCTCCCTTTAAATTTTTTATTTTAAGACTGAGTCTTACAGGGCTGGGGATTTAGCTCAGCAGCACAGCACCTGCCTGGCAAGCACAAGGTCGTGAGTTCAATTCCCGGTACCGGAAAAAACCAAAAACAAAAAAAGACTGGGTCTTGCTAAGTCACTAAGTTGCCCTGGCTGGGACCAAATCTGCAATCCAGCTTCAGCCTCCCAGAGAGCTGAAATTACAGGCATGTGCCTCCTCTCCTGGCTCCTAATATATATTGGGGGTGGTGAGACAGGGTCTCATTATATATAGTTCAGGGTAGCCTTGAACTATGTAACCCACGCTGGCCTCAAACTTGTGGTGATCCTCCTGCCTCAGCCTCCCAAGTGCTGGGATTACAGGCATGCACCACCAAGCCCAGCATAATTTATTCTTAAAAGGCAGACAAGATCACCTCACTCACACTCTCACACACACCGTTTCATCTTTACTTTTTGACAAGATTTCTATATTGCCCGGGCTGGCCCTCAATTCCTAGGCTCAAGCAATCCTCCTGAGCAGCTAGGACTCCAGGCATGCATCACCCTGCCCAGATATTCATTAGTTTTTTGTGGATTTTTTTTTTGGGGGGGGTTCCGGTACCAGGAATCAAACTCATGACCTTGTGCTTGCCAGGCAGGTGCTGTACCACTGAGCTAAACCCCCAGCCCCATTCATTAGTTATTAACAGAACACTGTCAAGCACCTGGGATACAGTCATGAATAAAGTAATTTCTGCCTCAGAATCTGCTTATGTGCTGCCTCCACCTGACACATGCTTCCTTTGGGTCTTTTCACTCCTGCTTTTTTATTCCTTGGTCCATGTTACCTGCTTGGAGGTTTCCTTCCTACCTAAACTCGAGCTCCTTTTGACACTTATCTCAACATACCATCTTTTGCCTCTTGCCTGTCTGCCCCCTGCACTGCGCTTCAGGAAGACAGGCTATGTTACTAATTCCCAGCTGCATGCCCAGCCCCTGAACAGTGCCTGGCTCGTGGAAGGCACTCAATAATATTTATCAACTGAATGAGTAAGTGAGTGGATTTTTTCCCCTTGCCCTCCAACCCTGGCTCATCCCACCAGCCCTTACCTGCCAGAGGCTCTCCCCCCCCTGGGAGCCCGCCCTCCAGGGCTCCTCCAAGGACCTCATAGGGGCCCAGGGGGGCAGGGGCCAGGGGGAGTTTCCCATAGTCTACAAGCCATCCCAGCCCGCTAGCTGGGAGCAGGCCCTTGTCCAGCTCGAGCCCCAGGGTCGCCAGAAGTGACATGGCTGAGGCACAGGCGCTGGGCACCGATGGCAATGGAAGCTGCACCAACAGCAGGGAGGAGGCTCCGGAGGTTGCTCAGCTGGAAGGAGATGGGCGCGAAGGTGGAGGACCTGTGTGTGGGAGATGAGAGCGGGTGGAGTCAGAAGCCGGCCTCACCCACCAGCAAGAGCCACCTGCTCGCTCCCTCTCCTTTCCACCCGTGGCTTGGGACCAGGTCATATCTGCTCAAGTCCTAAATCGTCCCCTTCCCCAAGTTTGGGAGCCCTACCCATTCCCAAGGGAATTCTTTTCTTTAGAACGCCTAAGCCCCAACACAGAACCCCAATGTTTTCCCAGGGGAATTCCCTCAACACCCCCCACTTCATATTCCTCTTCATTAAAAAAAAAAACAATCCCGGGGGAATTTTCCTCCAGCTTAGGCCCCACTCCCTTCCTAGATGGTGACTCGGGCCAGTTCCCAGGACATTCCCCCAAGTCCTCGACCGCCAACATTGTCATCACTCAACTCCCACCCTTCTCTTAAATTTCGCTGTGATCGCCACTGTCCCTACAAGCCCCACCCCTCGGTCCATATAGCCCCGCCCTAACCAGAGGCCCCGCCTCCTTGCGCTGTCAAAGCCACGCCCTTCAGCTAATACCCGCCTGGGCCCCACCCCTCAGGCTCCCCCCACAGCTCTACTCTCCTCTTGCGTTCTGCTTTGCTGTGGTGCTGGCTCCACCTACTTTGTTTTTTTGCAGTACTGTGGATTGTACCGGGGCGTTTACTGAGATACATTCTTAGCCCTTTATTTTATTATTTTGAGACGGGGTGGAAGGATCTCCCTAAGTCGCCCAGGCTGGACTCGAACTTGCGATTCTGCTGCCTCAGCCACCGAGTGCTGTCCACCCACTTACTAAGCTGCTTCTAAGCTCCGCCTCCTGCCCTGTCAATCTAAATGAGTCTCCGCACTAGCAGGTGCCTAACTGAAATGGAGGGAAGCTGGGCTGTGAACCAGAGCACTTGTAGAGTCAGGAGGGCGGGAAAGGGCAGGCGGAGAACCGGAGAACGGCTACCCAACCTCCATCCACAGCTACGCAACCCCCACCCTTCCGAGCTGCTCCTTCGACGCGCGTCAAAGGGCAAACTCTAACGGCGGATTCGGCCATTATTCGCTCAGGCGCGGGGGCGACCCTCCCCTCATACAGAATGCGAGCTCTAGTGGGCTGATGGGCTGGAGCAACAATTCGTGGCGGAGGTGGGGGGTGGGAGTGTGGGATAGTGCCCTCTCTCAACAGTAGTGCGCAGGCGCAACCCCACGCAGGCTAGCTTTGTACGGCAGCTCTCCGGAAGAACTCGCCCTCCCCCACTCGGACTAAGTACGCATGCTCAATTGCGCGCCTACGGCCCATTTTCTTGCTTCTGCGCCTGCGCGACCGTGATTCCGTGCTTGCGTCTCCCCACCCCCAAACCGGGCCTTGAGGACCGCGAGCTGAGAGAAAGGGCGGGAAAAGCGGTTGGAAAGAGAGGGGCGAGCGGTTACTCACTCCATGGCTGCGAAAAAGAGAGGCTGCGGCGGCCTCCGTTGAAGAAAGAAGACGGGAGCGGGAGCGAAGGCGCGGTGAGCGCGGAGACGGACGGGGGTCACAAAGGGGTGGCGACTACAGAGCCATGGCCGGCGGCGCGCGGGCGGAGGCGGCGTTACGGTAGCGTAAGGAGAAAGCGTGGTGTGAGGACGGGGAATGAGGCGGCCCCGGGGACTGGGGACAGATATACCGGGCCTGGCGCCGCACGACCCGCCCGGATCCTTCCGCGCCCCGCCCCGCGTGGCCTCAGCCGGGAGGGGCCGGCGGCCCCATGGGGATCCGCGCCTCGGAACCCCTCCCCTAACGACCCCTGGGGTTCGCCCGTCTCAGACATGAGGACCGGCCGCCGGCGCCTTGCGACCCTGCGCTGTAGACTTCTCTGAGCCCGAGGGCCGCGTCCCTGCTCTTTCAGGTTTTGGAGATCCGACTCCATCCTCTCCCCGCGGACCCGCACCAGTTCGTTTCTCTTTTCTTTCATTTCACCCCCCAACCGCCATCCCACCCCGGAAACCCTCGTGAGGTAGAGTTTAACGGGAGCCACAGACCGCTCAGGATTCAAATCCTAGAACTACGAGGGTGGCCTTGGACAGATAACTTTGTTCAGGTCTCATTTCCCTTTCTGTAAATGAGAAAAGTCACCCCAGCGTGGTGCAGGTTTTTTATGAGAAAGTAGGCAGTGCCCTTGAAGGCCTAAGTGTGGAGGTGGGCTTTTCAGTGTGTTAATGGGCAGTGTGGGGCCCTGGGCTCACCTGTTCCTCTCCACACCCAGGAAGAGCCCCAGACATTTCATTAACCCTGTGGCCCCTCACTCCAGGGTTTCAATTTCCAGCCGTCCCACTTTCCCTCCCGTTCTCTCCAAGGATTCAACCTTTTCTACAGCCCCTGCCCATTGCCCTGACTTCCTTTCAGTCCTTAGCCACAGCTGCTCCCTACTACTGGGTAGGAATTGGCTCCCAACCCTGCCCCAAAAAGGGAGATGTGTGTTTCCATCTTGTGATGAGAGTTTTGGGTTTTTTGGGTTTTGTATTTGTTTGTTTTGAGACAGGGTCTCACTATGCAGTTCAGGCTGGCCTTGAGCTCACTTATGTGGCCCAGGCTGGCCTCAAACTCACAATGATCTCCTACCTCAGCCTCCCAAGTGCTGGGATTACAGGGGTACACCGCCACGCCCGGCTATTGTGACGAGAGCTTGGTAGTCATCCTGCCCCTCCTGTGCCCTGTGGCCTTTTCCACCCACACGCCTGGACCTCTTTGTTCTGTTGCAGAAACCCCAGAAGTTAAAAAAGCACAGATTCTGGAGCCCCAGGGTACTTGGATCCAAACCCTGACTTGCTTGTGGTCCTGGCATTGTCCCTTACTTTCCTGTGCCTCCGTTTCCTCTGTGGTGAAAGGTGGCTTTTACAGTGAGCTACCTCTTGAGGATGGCACACGGTAGGTGCAGTGTAAGGAGCTGTTGTTACTCGGGTGGATGTGCTCTGACTCCGTGGTTATACAGTAAGTACTCTGAAACCTTCCAGAGGAGACTCCAGGACTAACTTCTTCCACTTCTGTGTAGGTACTGAGCTGTGTGCCGGGTGGGATTGAGGACAGGCTGCTGAAACGCTGCCAGAGGCAGCCCACCCATAGCGTCTTCTGATAAGACCTTTAAGATTACACACAAAGACTAGGTTTTTGCATTTGTTTTGGGGTAGGCTCTCACTGTGTTGGTGGTCTGAAACTGGCCTGAAGTGGTCTTGAGTGGCTGGGACTAAACCCAGTTTAGGCTTTTTTGTATTTTTTGCTGAGGATTGAACACAAGGCCTCGAGCATGTTAGGTAAACCCTGAAGTACACCTCCAGCCCATGGATATCTTACTTATTTTTGGTTTTTTTTGAGATAAGATCTCGCTATGTAGCCCAGGCTGGCCTAAAACAACAGTCCTTCTGCCTCAGGCTCCCAGTGCTGGGATTACAAAAATGCACCACCACGCCCAGCCATAGACTTTTTTTTTTAAATGAACTTTTAAAAAAAATTTTGAAATAATTTTATTTTATTTAAAAAAGGAGGGCTGGTTTGTTTACTTATTTTTATGCGTACATGTTTTCAGTGCATGATGTCTGCATTCATATTCAGTGTCTTTTTTCTTTCTTTCTTTCTTTTTTTTGAGACAGGGTCTCGCTATGCAGTTCAGGCTGTCCTTGAGCTCACTTTGTAACCCAGGCTGGTCTTGAACTTGTAACAATCCTCCTGCCTCAGCCTCCCGGGTGCTGGAATTACAGGCGTATGCCACCACGCTCAGCTGAAATAATTTTAGGTTTTCAGAAAAGTTGCAAAGATGGTGCAGAGATGCCAAGTATGATGGTACACACTCGCAATTTCAGGCACTCTGGGAGGTTGAGGGAGGAGGATCTCAAGTTTGAGCCCAGCCTGGACAACTTAGCAATAGCTTTCATTATTTCAAAATGAAAATAAGCTTAAAATTATTTTAAAGGTCTGAGTGAAATGTACCTCAGTGCTTGAGTTCAAACCCCAGTGCCCCCGCACACACACGTGCAGAGAACTCCGTTATGTCCCTCACCCAGTTTTTCCTTTTGTTAACATCTTAATCACTCTGATACAAGATGAGTTTGTCAGCAAGGAACCACCATCAGCACATTACTGTTGTCTAAACTCCAAACTCTGTCCTGACTTCACTAGTAGTGCCTTACTTTTCCGGTTCCAGGGACCATATTCTCTTTAGGCGTCATATCTTCTTACCCACTTCTGATCTTTCCACTTTCACATTGTCTTTCAGGACCTTGACAGGTTTGAAGAATGCTGGCTGGGTGTTTTATGAAATGTGCTTTAATTTGGTTTTGTTTCATGCTGGAATTGAGTGTTTTGAGAGGTAGGGTATTTTTTAATAGCTAGAAATGAACTGGCCTAGTAGGAAACTGGCCTAGTAGGAAACTGGCCTAGTAGGAAAATCCTGTCCCTGGCTGTGTACAGCATATGCTGACTGAGAAGGCATCGTTGTAGGCACTCCAGTGCCTCCGTGCTGGCCCCCTGTGCCCTGCTTTCTCTGTGACTTTTGGACCCTACCCACCTCAGCCCTGCGCTCCTAATAAGCAGCTCAACTCAGTGCTGAATGGGGGCCAGTTCACACACTTAGGTGCCCGGCCCTTCTCATCGAGTTCTGGCTTATGGTGGCCAGTCATCGGTGGCTGTCTGCCACACCAGGTCTTGATACCCTGCACCCTTGCAAGTACCCATTCCTGACCTAGGCTGGTGGCCTAGCCAGGACACCGGTTCCTCAGGCTCTCCGGGCTTTGCAGAGTCCCTAGGTCCGCGTATCTTCTTCAACCCCTCAGGTGGGGTGGGGCTGCTGGGGACTCTTTTTCAGTGCGGAGGGGCCTGGCTTGGGGAGTGAGGTGGCAGTTGCAGGCAGATTGCATCAGCCCTGGTTCTTGGATGGGGAGGGGGAGTGAGGGAATTCTCTGAGGGCTTTGGCACACCTGGCAACTGCTCCTGGGTAGCAGAGCCCGGGATAAGGAAAGAGGCCCCAGCACAGCACAGGGGCAGAAGTTGGAGTGGGGAGGGGACCCATATGCCTGTGCAGAACCCTAAGAGCCCAGGACTTTATACCAAGAAGGGACCCCATGTCACAGAGGCCCCCAGCTTGGCTTGTAGGAGACAAGGTTTGGAGAGGTAAAGGGGGTTGTGCAAAAATCACATCATGTAGAGTCCAGGCCTTGTGACCCTGCACAACTTCCAGGGCCCCCAGAGCTCTTGAAGCGTGGACCTTCACCTCAGGTTTGCTGCTGCTCACAGTTGCCAGATTCGCTTGATCCCAACCTCTCACCATCCCACCCACCACAGAGGGTGGCGCCCTATTGCGGCAACCCCTTGATGATTTCCCAATCAAGATAGCAGCCTGGTGTGATGGAAAAGGCTCAGAGTTTTGCATCAGATCGGTCCAGGTCTCTGTCCTGAGCCCACAGCACTTAATTGTGGTTAGGGTTGCAGGCAGCAGCCTCAAGTACCTTCTGCCAAGTGGGTCAGGGCCAGCCCTCTGGGCTCATACTACAGTGCCACCACTTCTGTGCCCCTTGGCAAATGGCATCGTCTCTGCTGCATGAGAGTGGGCTCACAGGACCCCTGCGTAGGGTAGTGGTGAGAACTTAAGTAGGTTGATGTAGGTAGAACGCCTAGATCAGGGCCAGCTCGAGGGAGCCGCCCTCTGAACATTCTCTATGAAGACTCAGCACCCCCGGGGGATTAAGGGATGGCCAGGCTCTGCTTAGGAGCTCCAGATCTGCACGGCTCGTCCTGCTTCCCCTTCTCACTTGGCACTGCTTTCAGTTTCTTCACAGACTGTTTCCGGAGTGCCTAGAGGCAGGGTCCTGACCTTCCCCATTCCCAGAAATTTCCCCACAGCCCCCAACCCTGTGCCGCTACCTTCATAGGCAGCACTACACTGTTTTAATGCGTAGTTTGTAGAGGAGGGAAACCAATACCATGCTCCCTGAGCAGGGCCAGGGTGGTAGCTGAGCCATGTAGGCCAGGGGCAGGGGTTGGAGGTGGGCGTCTCGGCAAACAAGGACAGCAAGGCCAAGGCCACCTCAGCTGAGGGAAGTGCGGGAGCTGAGCAGGCAGCGCCCAGGCTGCCACACACAGGCTGCCACGTGGCCCAGGGGCTCAGAGTCCTCCAGGGCCCTCCTCTGCCCTCAGGCCACCTTACCCCTCTAAGCCAGAGCAGTCACAGCTCTCAGAGCCAGGTTAGGCCCCGTGACCCTGCATTGTGGGTGCTACCTTCTGAGTTAGTGTCATCTTACTGCTGTGACAAGTTAGCACAAACTTAGTGGCTCAGGACAAGCCTCGTTTACTGTCCTCCAGGAGGACAAACCTGTGTTCCTTCTGGAGGCTGCAGAGGAGAATCTGTTGCCTGGCCTTGCCAGCCTCTAGATGCCAGCTTGTTTGGCTTGTGGCCCCTTCCTCCCGTCACTCTAGCCTACACATCACTTCTCCTCTTTTCTTCTGGGATCTCCTCGTCATTTGTCTCATAAGATGCTATGTTTACACTTAGGGCCTACCAAGGTAATCAGGGTAATGTCTGCATCCGAAGATCTGACTTCGTGTTTGTAGGGACCCTTGTGCTGTATGGGTTGCAGTCACAGGTGCTGTGGACTAGGATATGGGCAACTTCAGGTGACCATCATCTAGTCTACCATATATTCCTTCAGCGCCTCACTTCCCTCATCTGGGAAACAAAGGATAGGGCCAGCCCTAGGTTGTCCCCTCCCTCGTGTACTCCCAGGGACTGGATATAGAAAAGGACAAGGCAAACTGATGACAGTGACCACATAGTGTCCTGGTCCAAGGTTGCCATCACTTAACCACCTCCCAGGCTGTGGATACCTAATCAGGAAATCAGCTATAGAACTGTCTTGGAGGAACCAGTCTTGGTGGCGCACGCCTGTCATCCCAGCACTTGGGAGGCTGAGGCAGGAGGATTGCCACGAGTTTGAGGTCAGCCTGGGCTACATAGTGAAACCCTGTCTCAAAAAACCAAACAGACAGATCTGCCTTGGGGGACAGCAATAAGGATCACAGGGGTAGCATGTGCGAAGGCCTAGATCAGTGCCTGGCTCAGCAACAGAGCTGTCCCCAGGTCCCTGGACAGCAAGAGACTCAGGGAGGGGACAGGTTTTGTATTAGGTGGCAGCCTTGCTAGCCCAGCTGTGAGGAGCTGCTGATTTGTTGCTGGTGTTGTTGTTCTTGTTTGGGATGTGAGTTTTGGTTTGTTTTTTGTTGTTGTTGTTGTTGTTCAGTTTTGTTTTTTACAAGGTCTTGTTGTGCAGTTCAGGCTGGCCTTGAACTCACTGTGTAGCCCAGTGTCCTCAAACTCACAGCAGTCAGACATGCCTGCACCTCCCAAGTGCTGGGATTACAGGCATGTGCCACCACGCCCGGCTGAGCATCTGTATTATTACTAAGGTTGTACATCAGAGTTCCAAATTGTCAGGGCTTCTTGCTTAGGCCTGCGGCAAGACTTTTCAGACTTACACAAGGGCATCTTGTGTGTTTTACCCTTTGGGGAAAGATAGAACATCAGCTCCAGGGACAAAAGAATTGCTTTTATATTTACCTGTAGCTTGTACTATTTTCAGTCCTCATTAGCGTAGTGTGTTATGATTGTCCAAAACGTCCTGGGCCAAAGTATCTTATGAAAGAAGTTTGAGTGCTGAGAATTTTAACCCTTTTGTCTCCACAGTTAGCAGTTCAGACATGAAGCCAGACTGCCTGGTCAGAGCCCTAACACTTTATGACTTTGATTTCAGTTTGCTCATCTATAAAGAGGGAATGGTAGTAGTTCCCACCCATAAAGTTCCTGGGAAAAGTGAATCAGTGCAGGTATAAGCCCTGAAAATGGGGCCTAGTGCGCATAGTAAATGCCTACAAAATGTTAGTGT